CTCCCCCATAGCAGAGGTCACTAATAGGCGGACCTTGGTCCGGGGGGTCTCATGCGGACCCGAACGCAATACATGATCAGCCCCTTTCATAAGTCAAGTTCGCGCAATTGCCGCACAGACCAGTCCGGCTTTAAGCCTCCCCAGGTCATTCATAAGACCACAGGTGAAGGCGGGCAGGTCCCGCTCACGTAAACGTGTTCGTAATGAACCCGCAGTGCTGATCCAAAATAGGCATGGAGCAGCTGAGCTGAACCGGACCGTGACGTAGCTTTTTATTATGGGACAGATGCCTGCTGCTTCATATCAAACAAAACAACTGAATTAGCTCACTTTAGTGATTCTGTGGTGGTTAAATATTTTTTAAATAATTATACAAAGTTGCTGTTTCGTGTCATTTTTAATATTCCCTCTAATAATTCTCCAGCTGCACTGACGTATCAAGCGCGCGCACACACATGCCACACAGCCCCTCCGCTGCTTGCCCCTCTGCGTTAGAGAGAGGGGGAAAAAGAACGAAACTTCCACACGTTGCTGTTTCATGTCATTTTTAATATTCCCTTGTTAATAAATCTGCTTGATGATTAATCTTGTGGTCGCTCAAATTTTGTGCGCGGATCTCTTTCTGGTTTACCGGCGCAACTTTTACAGTACGGTAGGTGATCAAATGTCAAAGGAAAGCCACAGACCAATTACCTGCGAGTTTCGCTACACCACGTGATACCGCCAAGCAAAGCGAGGACGAATGAGAGCTTGAGAAAAATTACCCAGAAAATTCAAAGATTGAAAGAATAACAGACAGCAGGAGATACAGTGGAGCGAGACAGAGTCGGAGAAGTAGAAACAAACAGGTGGAGAAATACAGGCAAGCGAGACAGAGGAAAGGAAGGAAGGAATTGATCCGATCGCAGAGCGGAAGGAGGAGGAGGAAGAAGCAGGCGGAGAAAAGGAGAAATAGAGGCAGACGAGACAGAGAAAAAGAAGGACAAAACTGATCACAGAGTGGGAGGGGGAGAGAGAAGCAGGTGAAGAAAAGGAGTAATACAGGCAGACGAGACAGAGGCAAGAACGACAGAGGCAAGTGAGTTAAATGGACCCAAGTAGAAGAACAAATGGCGTTGTCTAAAAAATGTAAAGTGGACAGTGAAAATAGAGCATTTAATCCAGAATGGACAGAATCATTTTGCTTTATCCTTCCCACTGGTGGTACTAAACTTGTCTGTCTGATATGTTCAGAAACTGTGGCACTTATTAAAAGTGGAAATGTGAAACGCCATTATGAGACAAAGCATAAACGTTTTGAACAAGCATACCCATTCAAATCTGAGTTAAGGTCAGAGAAAATATGCAGTTTCAAAGCCCAATATGAGCAGTCCACCAGGATCCTGAGCCACACATCCACTGCTCAGCAGCAAGCTCATGAGTGTTCCTCAGAGTTGCTTGGATTTTGGGTCAACACAAAAAGCCATTTACTGATGGAGAGGTTGTCAAAGAATGTATGACGACAGTTGCTGAAACACTTCTTGAAGGAAAAGAAAAATAAGAACTTTGTGAAAAAATAAAGCAAATCCCCATGTCAGCATCCTCCGCCACCAAAAAAAGTGACATTTTGACAGAGGATGTGCTAGCCCAGCTTTGATGTAGCCATGAAAAAGGGTGAGCTTGGCTGTGGATGAGTCCACTGAAGTGTGTGACAGTGCTCAGCTTTTAATTTATGTTAGGTTTTATAATGCAGACCAGAAATCATTCTGTGAAGACCTGCTGGGCATCATGTCTCTTCAGACCAGTACAACAGGAGAAGACATCTACCTGGCCATTAAGGGGATGTTAGACAAGAGAGGAATAGAGCCCAAAAAGTGATCTCAATCACCACAGATGGAGCTCCTGCTATGATAGGGAAAGAAAAGGGAGCTGTAGCAAGACTGAAGAATGACAATCCTGATCTCCTAACTTACCACTGCATCATTCATCAGTCGGTTCTCTGTGCCTCCCTGTCAGGTGAGCATGCTGAGGTGATGAATACAATGATGAAAATGATCAGTTTTCCTCGGGCATCCTCCTCCTACCAGCATCGCATGCTGAGGGAATTCCTCAGAGAAGTTGATGCCAATGTTGATGATCTTCTGCTGCACAACAATGTGAGATGGCTCAGCAAAGGCAGGGTTTTAGAACGCTTCTGGTCCATCTTTTTTGGCGGTGCTAAAAAGTCAGAAGGCAACACAGTTTTCTAAATTTCTAGAAAATGAGGAACAACAGGACAACGTGGCCTTTTTGGTTGACTTTACCTCACATTTAAATGACCTGAACTTGAGGGTACAGGGCAAGGATAATTCAATTTGTGAACTGATGACAGCTGTCCGTGCCTTTCAGAGAAAACTTGAGATGTTCAAGGAAGACCTGCAGGAAGACTGTGTCCACTTCCCTGCAGTGCAGGAACAGGTTCAGGGACAGAGAGATGTGTCTTCTTTTGTTGAGTTTATTGAGAAGCTCATTGTAAACTTCAACAATCGTTTTGACAGCTTCAGTGTTGGACAGCAGCTCACCRTGTTCATCCAAAACCCATTTGTCATCACAGACATCAGGAGCTTCTCAAAGGAAATCACACAGCACTTCAAATGGGCAAATGCTGGGCATTTACAGATGCAGTTAGTTGACCTCCAAGCAGATTTGTCCCTGAAGGAGCTGTTTGTCAGGACTGATCCTTCCACTTTCTGGCTCCAGATGGTTCCTGATTCCGCTTTCCCAGGTCTGAAGCAAGTAGCCTTGCAGATCTTGACCATGTTTGGCYCCACTCACAACTGTGAAGCAGCTTTCTCCACAATGAACATAATTAAAAAAAATACCCTTCCAGGCTGACCAATGAGCACCTCCACACATGCATGAGAATGGCTCTGACTCCATTCAAGCCCAGGTTTAAAATTCTGGCAGGACRAGCAAGAGCTCACTTCTCTCACTGAGCATAAAATAAATAAGGGATTGCATAAAAAATGTTCTATTATTAAATGTGTTCAGATTTAAATTCTTAAAATATTTTGAGACAGTTCAGTCCAGGTGTTAAACACAAAAATGTAAATCAACCTTTTCC